GTAAAAAATATATTTTAAAAGTTTTTTAAACATAATTAAATGAGTAAATCAATGACAAATAATTGTTTAATTAGGAACAAAAATATAATCATGCTCTGGTAAGCGTTTAAGTCATTTCAACGTCCTCCCTTTTCTCATCCAGGAAGCAATTATATAACATCTTCCTATAAATATCAACGGTACTATAATCATACTTCAAATCCATCACTAATTTGTTGCATATAAATGAGTTTACACGTTTAATGATCCTTGACAACTAATGATTAAAATCAATTATATTTACCTTTTACATGTATTTAGTTTATTAATTTTTCTAATTTCATAATTAGTATGTAAACATTAGTTTTATAATAACGCATTACATTTAATTTCACATTTTCAATCAATTGTATAATATCAAAATTTTACCTATTATAGAAATTTTCATATTTATCTAAAATTTTACATAATTGATGTAAAAGCTTAGAAATAATTTATTTGATTTTGAATATTTGTAAATTACAATGTTTCTAATTTATTTATATAAGTTTAATTTATAGTTGAATTAAAAGGAAATGATGTATATTATTTTCTATATGTAATGATGACAATAATCATTTATTAAAATTGAGTGTGCAATGTGAGTATATGCGGAGGTTTCGTAAACAACGTATCTAACTAGCTACTTTTTATGGAGTCTCTAGTGTAGTTAATGATGGTCGTCTTCGCGGAGGTTGGCTGTGCATTAAATGCAAAATGAAGTTATACGAGTTGAGACAGAGCGACGAGACATCCAGGGATCATATATACTGTCCCAATGTTTCCTCTCCGATACAGAGACGTACTCTGCTCGCACGAAGAAACTTTGGCCATTCGTTCAGAAAACGCAATTATCATATATTCTATCAGTATGACAGTGGGAACGGCGCGATCATGCAAAGTAGGTTGTGTCACTCTCTGGCAAACATTCGGAGAGAAGAAAGAAGGAGCAAATGAAACGAGTGGAAAAGATACGAGGGAGAGAGAGTGTGTGTAAGAGGAAAAGAAAGAAAAAAAAAAGAGATGAGTTTGATGGAAAGGTTGTCTCGTCGCCGACAGCTACATCCAGCACCAGAGTTGAAGGTGGTGTTGGTGGTGCTTCGTCCTTAATTTATTATTTCTATTCTTCGAATCGAAAGACAATGCATCATTGAAAGAAGAGAAGACACGGGCGCACACACACACATACAGATCGTTGGTGGATGCATCGCAGGGGTAAAAAAGGAGTCTCCTCAAATTTACGAGCGTCGGGGGCGGCTTAAAAGTATGCAATAAATCCCGTCGCGGGGCTTAAAAATTCGCTGGCTAGAGAGATTGGCATGATTCGATGCCGCCACCACCTCAACGTCTCCTCCGGTTTCCTTCTACTGCTTCCTTATTCCTCCTCCTTCTTCTCTTCAGCCGTCTTTCCTTGGTGATAAATAGTAATTACTCCTTCGACGCCTTTCGCGCCCTTCGCACCATCCCAACCAACCGCCTCCCATTTCGTACTATATAGTACACGCTCCGTGCAGCGTGTACATGTGCATCCGATCAAGTACTGCTAAAGCACCCAAGCCATGGATGGTAGCCGGGGAATATTATAGTGATTAGACTTAATCACCGCCTCACGTTTTACTGCACTCCACACAACTATATTATTACTATCTATTCCAACTACACAACAACATTATCTTAACTAAATAGCCTTCCAACAGCACACATCCATCCAATAAACATCACTCGCAATAAAATAAGAAGAGAACAAAAAAAAAGAAATCTAAAGCAAACTAACAAAAAGTACAGTTTTTTTCTAACATAATTAATTTATTTTCAAAGAACTTTACTTTTAAAATAGTAATATTTCTTGTAGATTGAAATCATGGAATTAAGAATTTTAATCATTTAATGTTAGATTATGAAGACGGCGGTAACAATTTGTAAGATTGCAATTGAGATTGGGAATGACTGTGGGTATGAAGATGATGATGATGAGGACGGCTTCGTGTGAGTTTGTAAATGTATGCAGGCCCTTGTTGTTTTGTCGGTGGTATTTTTTCTTATTAAATTTATTTTGCAGTCGCCGTTGTTGTTGTTGTTGTTGATGTTGTATTTCATTTATATATACTTTTTTTTTTGTTGTTGCTTCTTCGCATTGGCGGGATGGAAAAGTGCGCATGAAGTTGGCGAGTTTATGTTGAAGTTAAAATAAATGGCAGCGCCATAAAAACGGAATTTAATAAATAAGTGGAGGAGAAGTATCTGGTTATTTATAGTATATTTTGTTGCTAATGACATGAGATATGTCCTGGTCAGGTGACAAAGCTTGGGAAGCGGTCCTCCGGCGCAGATTAGCGACCCATAATGAGTGACTTATGACGAATGTCGTTAATAATATGCAAGAACCTGTTTACGTATGCACGGAGCCCGTCCTCCTCATCCGCCTCCTTCGGTTTCGTCTTCTTCTCTTCTACTTCCACCACTTCTTCATCGACTCCTTTTACTCGTCTCCGCATACACACGCATATTTCCAAGAGCATTTTATATGACCCGAAGTGCATTACAGCATTTAACACTGTCACAAATTCCGGAATACTCTTTTTCTCTCTATCCACCATCGACTACTTGTAAACCAAACCCCGGCTGCCTTAACGAACTATCAAATTACTTATCAATTATTTTCCATTTAATTACCAGTAACATTTTTACCTCCGTCTCTCCATTATATTTATTCCCTCGTTCCTTTATTTGTCCATCCATTAGGTGAAATATTGTGAAGGTTGTGTATTTACGAACTGGTCTTCGAGATTAGATGGTCACCGCTTCATCGAGTCGAGCCGAACGATTTGCCCAAGATAAATCCATTTTTGGTCAGATGAAAGAAAGAAATAAGAGAGAAGAAGAAGGCATGGTCGAAAATTGGTTGTACTCCTTTTGCGGCGCCGTCTTAATTGCGAGCATAACTCAGTCACTCGGATCATTTAAAGATCAATTAAAATATAAATTGAAGACATCGGAGAGGAGTCCCTTCTGCTTCTTCTTCTCTGTCCTTTCTTTCAGTCGAAACAGGTGATGCGATGCCATTCGTTTCTCTTTTCATTATTCCACCTAATGACGATGTACAGCAATTCTTTTCTTCTGGGGGGAGTTCTCGCATAATTAGTCGATTAATTTATAATTCTAATTAATTTTCAATCAATAATTCATGTTAATAAGACCAGACATTCCCACAACATATACTATACTCGACCGAACACAGGACAACGGTTTGCATATATTAAATACGTATTATGTAACCATTAATCAGGAATTGTCTTCTTAAATTTAGCTACAATAACAAATTTATACAACACATTAGTTCTCTAAAATAATACTTTCAATTTCCTCCAAATTTGATCAATTTTCCAACGAAACTTATGAAATTTAAGTTAAATTCTATAAAATATACAAAATATATTCTATAGGATATGAAGAAACGTTTACATCATAATAAATCGTTTGAATAATAGCATTTAATTAAATCGACAACATTAAACCTCAACTTCGGTAGGATACGGATGATTCAGGTAAACGTTACCTACATCTTGCATTTGCTGATGACCATCTGCGTTTTATAGTGGACGTTTAATTGCAGTCGAACATCATGGATTCCATTCAATCAAGCATGTAATTTGTTCGGGCAAGCAACCGCAACATCTTTTGATGAATACTATAGCATTATGATAACAACAAAAAAAAGTTAACTACCATTTTTATAGCCAAAAATTATATACTTTCTGTTAAATCAGGGCTGAAAATTACTTATTCTGTTGAAAATTAAAAAAAAAAAACATAGTAATTTGTGATATGATTATAACAATATTCATTGCAACAATGATAGGAAATCAGGTACAAAAATGTATAAATTATCAGTTAATATTGCATTATTATATTATTAGTTTCAGATTTCTTAACAAATTTAATTGATCAATTTATGGATTAATGACTAGTATCGAATAGATTTTCATTAGAAAAAAATAAAGCTTTCTCTATGATTGAATAATTATATGTATTTCAATATGAAAACGTATGTGATTATACTCGTTTCCTGATCACATTTCCATCTCATTTCCGAATTCTATGTTCATTCGAAGATCAATTTGAAGAAGAAAAAATATACACATACGTACACGAAACTCGGTCCATAAATAACGATTCCCGAGAGTTCGGGGTGTTTGATTTTACGAGGTTGTAAAACATCGTCGTTTTATTTGTAATTAATTTTTGTTCCCTTCCTGCCGCACTTCGAATGCATCCACGAATGATGGAAATAAATAAATAATGGGGGGAAGATGATGAAGAAGAAGAAGAAGAAAAAATGTATATATACAGAAAAGAAGGATCTAGGATGATGCGAGGAAGAGAGAAGTTTATTGTTTCGAAAGGGCAATAAATAAAATATAAAAAGTAATTAAGAGAAGTTATAACTCTGTATTAAATTTATATGCGGGGAATCGGAGCCGGCAATCAACTAATCACAAAGATTTTAATCCTCCGTCCTGCTCCTCCTCCTCCTCCACCGTCGCCTCCTCCTCCTCTTCTCCATCTTCCTTCAAGCCAACTTTTCATTTTGATGATGCAGGCCTCTCTCGGCTCTCGCTTGCCCTCCGAGTGCGGGATTGATGGGAATGATGGTACTGCTTGATTTCTACATAAATAACATCAATACAATATCGCTATGACAGATTTATATGCGCCTGAGATGCCGCCCAATGTCTTCCTTTTTTTTTCCATCTTCTTCATCCACCTCTTCAACTCGCTCTCTTTCTCTCATATATATTGTATACATATATATAATACCTTATAGTTCTTTCTCTTCATCTCGACCGTCTTGTATTTATATGTTGTTTTTTTTTATTTATATTCGTTTCTGGTATGTGTCTGAGTTAGCAGCACGCCCATCGACCGCAGTAAATCAACGAATTGAAATTAATTCTTTCATCTTTTTCTCGTTCTCTTTGCAGCTCGACGTTGCAAAAGCATATGCTGGTGCATACTGGAAAGACGGTCAGGTGTCCGGTGGAGACTTGCGTCCATTTTGCGAGGAGCGAAGCGGACCTGAAGAGCCACATGACGACGCATTCGGACGAGAGGAACTATCCTTGCGATCTGTGCCAGTACCGAGGCAAGAGTGTCCAGCAGCTGAAACGGTACTTAACATCTTAGCCATCTTACAAGACCGTACATACCATATACTTTAGCATGTAGCAGATCGAACCGGACCCCGGTCAGGTCCCGGTCTGCGGCCATTAAACCAAAGGGGGGTTGTAAAAAAAGCGGTTCAGTGCATTCATTTCGAAGGGGGACAGATAAATTAGACAAACACCACGGTGTGTTCGGTTAATTGACAGGAGCAGTGAGCGAGCGCACCGGAGCCTCGCAATTAATGCCCTTATCTATCCAGGAATCACTTAACAAACGGCAAAGCAAGTCAGCAAGTCTGCAAACCGACCGGTCGTCGGTGGTGCGGTATTCCTCCGCGTCCTCCCGAATGTCCTTGCCGTTTATCGCGCGCTCGCATTCTTCCCTCGCATTCTTAGTTCTTCTGAATCCGAAAGGAGCCTGGACGACCGCGACCATCCAACGAACAAACAAACAGTACAAAAAAAGGACGAGGATGTAAAGAAAATCTCGTCTTGACGACTAACTTAATGCGGCGCCTAACCAGTCGTCGCATCGCCTCATTCCATTCTCTAAACAACAATTTACTTTACTTCCCAAACAAAATAACAGCCACCAATTACATTACATAACACCAATTTCTTATATTTCCACCTATTACTAAGAGCATTTACTGAAAATTCTTGTTACTAAATTTATAATACTTTTATGTTGAAATATTATTTTTTTTTTATTCTATACTGTTAATGATTTTTTTCATGAATTAATTTACACAAAAAGAAAGTTGCTGTTGTTTTAAAACGTGGGAAATAACATTTAAACAAAAAGAAAAAATAATAATATGATGTGAATAAAGCAGAAAGTCATAAATTGTAGCCTCGTCAGTCGCGTTTCGTGTTTAAAGCGACTGAGAAGAGATTTCGGATGTGTACACACACGATGTGTGTGTTAATCTGCAAATGATTGAATGCAAATTCCATGTTCTTGTCGCTTTCAGACTGATTTTCCGTTTTATGCAGAGCATTATATTATTATGTTGTTGGACGTGTACGCATATTCATATTAATTTCATTATTTTTTTTTTTTGTTACTGGTATTTCACTGTTTTTAATTTACGATCGCGACGATAAATTACAAAAATGGATTTATACGCGTCCAATTATGTGAGGGCAATTAGCATATTCCCCAGTAATTAAATCACCCATAAATCCAGCAATTTAATAGCCGCTTGTCCCGGCGACTGGACGCATCACCGGCCTCACCTCACCTCTCTCCCACAGTGCCTGTGCAAACGCACGCGTTCTTCCCCACTCACCCATCACCAACAACAACCATCATCGTCATCATCCATTGGTCAGATGCGTCCCATGGAGAAATCCAAAGGTCGCATCCAGAAGATTATGAAAAAAACAAAAATCTAAAAGGACTAAAATTAATCATAATTTATGTTAATTATTGCTTGAAAGAACATAAAATTCAAAAGGAACTTCAAAAAGTAACTTAATATTGAATAATCAAATTATTAAATGAATGAATCGTACCAAAATATTAATAATTAATTAAGTAGGATGTTGGTGTTAAATTTTATTTGTTATAATTCGTATTAATTGTTGGTAGCCATAAGACGATGCACGAGGATGGAAAGAAGTTCAAATGTCAGCACTGTTCGTTCACGACTCGGCTCCAATTCCATTTGGTTCGGCACGAGCGAATCCACACCGGTTCGAAGCCGTTCGTCTGTCCTCATTGCGATTACCGATCCAACAATTTGGTAAATAACCACTTCGCAGTTATGCAAATCCAGAAAACTCATCCTCTTGCTTGCTTGCTTTCTTTCATTTTCCAGGAGAATCTACGAAAGCACGTCATGGCCACGAACAAGCATCCGGGACGATGCATGTACGAGTGCAAGTTCTGCGAAGGAAGCAAACATTACAAGACGAATTTAGCTAGGGACTTCAAGGTTCATCTGATGATGGTGCACGGAGATGATTTTCCCACGCAGAACGATGCGAGTAATTATATAACAGGGATCTGTCACGGCGTGGAGTCGGTGCGTCCGAAGGAGAAGACCGACGAAGACGTTGATGATGACCTGGAGGAGATCAAGATCGAAGTCGTTCCGAAGGTTGAGGTCAAGCAGCACGGCAGCACCATGTTCCCCGTGTTTATCGTCTCCAAAGAGGAGGGTGCAGTCGTGGAGAGGAGCACATGGACTTTTGAAGCCGAAGAAAACAGCAACCTCGACACGTTCAACGACGAGAACGCCAGTTTGTTTCAAGAGCATTTCCAATAATTATTAACAAATTTATATATTTTTATATAACAATATTCGTTGACAATGTTTACTAATAAGAGTTCAACGATTAAAAATAATTTACTAAAAAAATATTAGCAATTTAATATTACACATATACACATATTAAGCTAAATTCTACTTATATAATAATTTACATATAAACATAACATTTAATATTAAATTAATGTATTCGGAAACTTTGTAATCATTTTAAAAGATTTGTATTGGTAAATGTAATTAAATTTTTTAATCGTGATACAACAAGGAACGAAGTTATTTAACTATTTTTAAGTGTAATGGATGTTGTTGAACTTATTCTTGCAGATGTGATAGCTTCCTGAAGTTTGGTAAATGGCGCCATCAATTTTGCATTGCTCGTAAAAGAAGGGATGAAGGATTTGGTGAAGTAATGTGCGAGAGAGTGAAGGAAAAGAGGAGCAAAGGAGTTCTTAGGTGTGGTGAGTTTATTGGCGAATGTGTGCGGATCGGGGAAAGAGTTATTTAAAGTGACAGTTCCCTATGTAGCAGTTGTAATTGGGCAGAAGTGGGTTCTGCATAATGTACAACCTGTTTCTCGTAAATCTCGTTTAATCTGCCGGGGGAAGGAATAAAAACGAGAGGCCGCAAAGAGCTGAAGAAGGAGTGAGATGGTTAAAGAGTGAGAGAGAAGCGAAGAGGTGGAGGAGAGAGAGAGAGAGGTTGAGGCTGCGATCGGTATTAATAATGCACATAGGTGCATAAAATAAGATAGAGAGAAGGATTCCTGTTCATCCTCTTCTGCAGCCGCTGCTCAACCTCCTCCTCCTCTTCTTCGTACCGTTGTTGTCGTTGCCGCTGCTGCTGCTGCTTCTCTTCTTATTCTTTTGCTTTTTCTTCTTCTTCCTCCTCTTCCCCTTCATTTTTGGTATTCGCAATTATCCGTGAGTGTCCATCTAAAGATGCGGATTTTATTAGTCCCTGCGACGGAGAGGAGCGAGAGAGAATCCGTGCTGCGACTGCGAAAGAAAGAAGTAATAAAATATAAACGTTTCCCATTCGTCCTGTGGGCCTGTTGTCCTGTCAATCACCCGGCATGGTCTCTCGCCAATGGCTTCCCAACAATGGTCAAACACAAAATGGCTTCTCTTCGGCCGAAGCAGCACTCTGAGCCTCAGCCTCGACATCCTTGGCAAGGATTAGGGATTAAAGATTCGTGTGGATTAGAACGCATCAATCAGGACGAGACGCGTCGGCATTTCGGTCATACAAATTGCCTCATTTCGGGGCACCACCAAGAAGAAGAAAAAGAAGAAGTAGAAGACGGACATATTTACGACCTTCTCTGTATATATCCCGCTGCATACTTTATACCACTGTCTGTTCATCTCCCCCATTCTTCAGCTCTAGAGACATGCGGGATGGACGCGGGGGGTTTAGACAGCATACCGATAAATGAATTCAATATGATGTAATTGTATGAGACTTGCAACGTACTTTACGACCAGATACCTTCATCCTAACCACAACAACAACAACAAAAAAAACAAGAAATTCTCTGTTTTCTCGTATACAGATAGATATAATTATTCAACTTTATTTCCCCCAAGATTTTATCTTCACCATAATTAGCAACATCTTACCTCCGTATCATCACGTAGCCATAAAATAATAACGTGATCGACGCAACCTTTTCCTTCGCCTTCCACCAGAAGGAAACAACAACGACGACAAGAAAAAAAAAACTGGTTGTGCCTTGGGTAATTTGATACCCGACGACTTCCTTCTTTACCCTCGGTCTTTCATCTGCGGCGAATACGTATTTTAACCTGTTTAACACTAATTTCACTCGGTTAAAAACATAATCATCACTGTTTTAAACCAAAATCAATCATTTATGAACCAATGATTTGTGAACAACATTACATACTTAAAAATTAATTAAAAATTGATCGAATCTTTAAATATTTAAAATTTTAAACAATTAGTAAATCATTATTTATTAATACTAAACAATATATTTATTAATACTATTTTCTTTTAAACGAAACGAGATTTAACTTCAGTCAGGTCACAGAAAACACTGCACCTGTTCAGTTTGTAAAATAGTCGATTGAAGTTTTATATTTTAACTTTAAAGAGTTAATTAAAGCATCACCTGTAGTATTACCTAATAATAATGAACGTTCAAAGATTACTCAGATAATGTAGAATTTGTGGTGCAGCTGAGGATTTTCAATTCAGTACAGAAAATTCCAATTCCAATTGAATTATTTAAATAAATCAAATTGTTTCTATTTGTTTCCTAAATAACTAAATCAAATAGTTAGAATATACAAAATCAGATTTGCTACAAAGTTTGGTCATCGATAATATTTTATTTATTGATGAGGACGGTATTAATTTTACATAAACGAGACGCGCAATCAATTATTAATTTGGGGTTGATTTATGATAATTGGACGGACGTCCTCGGACGATCAGCGCTTTTGGTGGAAGCAGTAGTAGTTGGTCTGGGGATGAGTTAGTGGAATTAAACGAAAAGGGTTTTCATAATTGAATTGAAAATGTATTTTTAGGGAAGAGGGAAACTTTGAAGGGGGAGTTGGGATGTACTGCAGTCAAAAGAAATGGTGAGAGAGAGAAGGGGATAACATGAATGGGATGGGTGGAAGAGGGTGAGAATGTGAGGTTGATTTTGGGGTGGTTAAGTTTGTGTGATCAGTCAGTCAGTAGCGTGTCGGAGTGTAGTATATCAAGCGGCATGGCAAGATGGCGTCCCGTCATTCGGACTCCTCCTGGCAGTATAAATCACTCGAAAACCTGTAATCACCCACCATAAATATGATCCACAGCTGCGGCCCTCCGATGATTGATTTCCGCTCTGATTGAAACAATCACCACACCGCTACCCCCAGAATCGCACAACACACCAAGATAATCCTGACACTCTTCCATATACACCAGAACTAAATTTAGTAAAAACTAGTGTCCCTATAAATAAATCCTTTCGTCCTTATAAAATGCAAAGGATTATAGATAATTCGTTTCCACGACAACATTCTATAGTTAATAAAAAAAGGATTGAGAATCGCTTTAACTACGTAATATTAATTCATTTCCATGACAACATTTGCTAAATCAGTCATACATTCTGATCGATATTTAGTAAAAAGGTAATGATTCAGTATTACATTAATTACGTAATATTATGAATTCGTTTCCATGACATCAATCCGTCATGGATTGATTGATTGATTTGAAAGTTAATTTTGGTTTAAAAAATCTATAATATAAACATGTTATATAATTCATAAAATGCATTGAAATGGAAAAGAAAATATAAATACAATCGTGTTTGTGTTTACAAGAAATTAATTTTGTGTATATGCAAAATTATTTTTATTTAGTGTGCATTACGAAACTCAAACTTAATTAAATATAGCTTAATTAATTAAATTACTTGATAACCACCATCAATAATAATAATCATAATTATTCACCTGTTGCATAAGAATGCGTTGTTAAAAATACTATAAAAAAAATATTAATTTAATCCAAATCTATTTACCCTGAGTATCATTAACTTCTTGGAATGCATGTATTACACTAGTTTTTTTTTAAATATGCAAAGATAGAAGAAGTAAAAAAAAAATATGTATGTATATGATAGACATTAAACATTTTCAGTTATTCTCGTCTTTTCGCTCGTATCGTAAATCAAGCGTGTTTACTATTTCGCATTACGTGGATTACGCATAAGTAAGTGAATATAAATACGAGATAATTTCCGAGATACATAAAACTGGACTGCGATTTGAGAGGCAGCCGTTCACTTGGAAATGGAATTCTTGATTTAATATGTAATTGGAGATTGTCTGTAAATAATGCAGAAACGCGTTTACATTCGGGCCTTTGCGAAACGCGTTTATTGATATGTCAATCTGGAAGGCATAAACTCAAACGTTTTAAGAGAGCAGTGACACAGAATAAGAGAAAGCCGTAAGGTTAATAATAAAATTTATTAAGACAAGCGATGGAAACGTAATCTGCTGAACTTATGCAGTCTCTCGTATAAATCATGCAGAAAACGAAAACTAGCAGAAATGGAAATGGTGGTGGTGGTGAGAATTATAACATCAATACTTCTTTTTTTTCGTCTTTTGTTTGTGTCTTATTAGACTTTTAAACTACGACCTACTTTCTTGTAGCCGATGTGCATTTCGCTTGCTGCGAAACGGAAATTTCAATAAGCAGGAATCCCGTGAGTCATTTCCTCATGAATATTCCTATTTATTACGTTTTAAACTCTTTTAAAACTAGTTTGTACCTGTCTACAACTTTTGATTTTCAATTTACTGTTATGTATTTCTTTATTTAATACAAAACAAATCTCTTCAATTTCAAATCATTTTTGTAATTGTAGGAATTATAAACTACAGAAATCTAGCAATTGATTAATTTGAAAGGTCATAGTTTTGTGTTGAATTTGTATGTTTGATGATCCAATTTACACGTTTGGTTATGAAGTAATTGACTAAAAGAGATTGATGTAAGCTTTATTTCATTGTTGGAATTTCTTAGTAATTATATGATTCTTGATTATATAAATGCAGCTGAATGTTACTTGATCAAACATGGCTTAAATTCCGATAGAATCTTGGTGAAAAAGAAAAGTTGATCTAACAAAGGTAAAGGAAGAAGCAATGTTCTGTACCGAACCATAGTTGAATAGGTTAGAACGTATCGCACATAATGGACTTGATCGGTTTAAATGAACGGCAATTGTTATTGGAACACACGATTTCCTTAAGGAAAGTTGACTAGGAAAACGTAGATCGGGTAGCGCAATTTATCGCGAACGTGTGCAACAAGGGGCAATAAATTTTAGGCGGAGGGATAAGAACTGAGGCCATTGTACAAGGTAGGTAATCGTTCTGGTCTATTATCTACGATTTTAGGAACGCGCGCGTACTCTTTTGTATGCAAATGTCCAATAAAATCTTAATTAGACCGTCATCGCGGATTCCCTGGGTCATCCTTTTTTTTACCGCTTTCCTTCTGGTCC